TAGATGAATAAGCAGTTTTGTGGATGTGCTGTACTGTGAGGAAAGAACATTCATGAGAGATGAACATTCTTGTAGCTTTTGAGTTTAAAACATAACAGGAAAAATGTAACACCAAAAAAATTCCCATTTATTGTGGGTAAAAAGAAAAAGTCATTTTTGGGTTCATCCCATCGTGAGTATTCAGGCGGAAGGTAGCATGCATTGATGAAGATAAGCATTTGGCCCACGTGGATCAGTTATGTGAAGGTTGGTTATTATCCTTCGTGAATGCAGCGTGTGTAAATACTGATAGATATGCAAAGTCTCTAATTGACAGACGCATACAGAAACGCCCCAGGTACCTCAACGGGAGCTGTGTGTTCATTCTGCAATCTACACATCATCCTGAGGGTCGACTGGGTAGGTTACAGCCCAGCGGAGCTGAGAGGGGTGTCGGTATCACGCATCTAAATCAAAAACAATCTGGATCTCATTTAAGCTTTCCGCCTGCCAGTGCTGGAGTGAATACATCCAGACTGCAGACACACTGGCCCACCAAAGCGCTTTTTGCACTGAGGCAGAGGGAGCCAATGTAGTTCTTGATGACCGGATCACCCCTTCAGTGGAGGATGGAAACCATTGCATGAAAACGGACACACGTAAGTGCAGAATCATTGGTGTCCCCTCACTGTAACAAATTGCTGTAAATTTACGGTGCATTTCTAACAGTATCTTACAGTATGTCACAATAACTGTAACATACAGTTACATTTCTATCCCTTGCTTGTAAATTAACGGCCAATGGCATGAATAAACAGTTAAACCTGTCAATTTACAATAATAGACTACCGTAATTCAACTGCATGTTACATTTTATGAAGTGGTGGAAATACACATACAAGTGCAGTGAATCACAAACCATCTACATCTGTTGTAGGTTATTGTATGGAAGCCCATGTCTGCCACTGAAAAACAGGTCCTGTAAGTCATCATAATGAGATAGTATTTCAGGAGATACAATGATGACTTTGACTTACAGGACATTACTATACATGCGGTTGTCACTTTTATCCAAAACGCGCATGGTTTGACATAATTTATGTGGAGTATTTGGGGGTTAGGTGTCTTGCTCAGGGAGACTTTGACTTGGCACAGGGAGCAGCCAGGATTCGACCCACCGACCTTATGCTGCACAGCACACCCTCCCTATCCCATGCGCCGCCTTCGCTAACATTTCACTAGCCAGAATGTAAAGATTATAAATATTTGTATTATTCAAAGTGTTCATTGCCTAAAAGTGATTTGAGTGTTAATCGTGACCGACTGCTCCTGAACGTGACATTAGACGCAAAATCTCAGTTCATCCAGAACACCTGTCAGTGCAGTTCAACATCGGAAGAGTTTCTCATTGCCTCGTCTCTCCAAGTAACGTTGGCAAGTGTTATTTGCCTAGCATGATTGAAATTCTCTTTCATTCTCTTTCCTAACATATTGTTGTCTTCCTCATCTTTGTATTTTTAATCTTTAACCAATGACAGTGTTTCTAAATATTTTATTTTGGTTTGTTTTACAGAGGCACTGGATTAAGGACGCCAGCCGTTTGCTGCGGTCAATTGAAAGTGTTCCATAGCGTATTGTTGCAGTTAGTTTACCTTGTTCCTAATAATTTTATGATTCATCTTTTTATTATTGTATACATGCGGCATATTTTATGTTTTGTTCTTGGTTACAAATGCTGAACATTTTTGTCTTAAAGGCATCTAATAAACTCCAACCACTATGACCGAAATGAGTTTGGTTGTCTTTCTTTAATTTGTGGGGAATTAAATGCAAAAGTATACGGTTATAAATAAATGGTAACATTCTGGTATTTATAACACAAAAACAGTAATCGTATGGTAACAAACTGTAATCTAATATACGACAACATACCGTATATTACGGTAGGGCACTGTAAATAAAACAGTAAGTTACTAGCGTTGACTGCCAGTAAATTGCAGTTAATTCACAGTAAAATTGGTTTCGAAATAAGTTTACGTTAACACACAGTAATCATTTTACAGTAACATAGTGTAAAAACCATTTACGGTATCATACCGTAAAATAACAGTAAATTCCTGGCATCCTTGCTGCCTGTAAAATACCGTTAATTTACGGTGAAATTTTTTAGAGGGCTTGTCTGAGGTGTTATCGGCTGTTATCAATGTAATTGGAGCAATAGGGGGGCATTTCCTGCAAGAAAGGAGTTCAATTGTGAGGAGTCATTGCTCCTTCTCTGCGACTCGCCACTGACTGCCCAGCTGTCGTCAGAAGAAGACCAGAACGCCTGTACCCCCTTTTCCACAACCCCCCCTCCTCTCCCTAAACTTTTCCTCTGAACTCACTCCTAAACTCATCCCTCCTTCTGAAGCCACTGTAACCTGCAAACACATCCAAAGAGCACATATCCGTATCTTCCTTGAGTCCACACAAAATGCAGCACGTCGCCTCGATAATCCAGACGGTGTTAGGCCATGCACTTCGAGCGATCACGCTTCATTGTGGATATGTGGAAATGTAGGGAACGGAGTATGAAGAGGAAAAGGAGACGGACTGTCTTCTGCGGCTGTGTGCATGTGTTGGATAGAAAGGGGGGGAAAACGAAATGCAATTGCAAGCAGTCAGGAATGTTTTTCTTATCGTCACAGAGCTGGTCTGGCTACTCCCGAGTATGTGGTTAGGACCGAGGACTGAGTGGTGATAGATAGCAGGGGGGACGTCAGTGCGATAGCCTGCGAGAGACCTCGGCCTGAAGTGTTTAGGGAAGGAGGAAGAGGACCAGAGAGGACTTGGCAGGCAAAGCGCATTTTGGTTTGTTTGTTTTTAAGCCCAACATGCCAGACTAGTATCTTGACTTCTCAATCCCCCCTAAAAGTCTTACAGGCAAAAGTTGAAGCTGACGTCTGAGGTATTTTAATGCTTTGTTGTGCTGGGATGAGGTGCAGTTCAGGCAGGCCAAATTTTGCTTCAAAACGTAAATAAAAAAATGATGCCACATGAGTTATGTTTCCAACTCTCAAACTGTAGGTGGTCCCGAGTTTCAGACTCATACGCTCTGGAGAAACCAGGTCCCTCCACGCAGGGGGAAAACCACGAAGGCCGTAAAAATATTAACACTACAGCAAACACTTATAGCCGCCAGCGCCACCAGCTTAGAAACGTCATCATAACATCCACCGGTAGGGTCAAATCCGCCGGGCGGCGTTAGTTGACCAAAAGCACCCCCCCGTCCCCCACCCCCCCCCGTCTCTGTTGTCCACAAACGGGTCCCGTTGGTCATCTGACTGGTCCATCAAGGTCAACATTGCATCCACCCCCAAAGAGGAGCTGGCTCAGCTGAAAGCGGTCCACCATCACTGCGGCGTGTGTGGTCAAAAACAAACATCAAGAATACCAGAGGGGGAAACCCAGGTGGAGCGTGTTTCCAGTGTTGCTGCACAGAAAGCTGAGCATGAAACCAGTCAGAAACGTGGAACATTTCAGTGAGGAATGAAAAAGACAATCTGGTAAAGTGTGATGAGAGAGAGACAAAACATAAACAGGGAAAGCGACTGAGTAACACACGAAAGATCAAGAAGAAGACATGAAAGAGGACAGCTTTTCCTTCCTGTTCCTGCCCGTCTGTTAGAGCCTGTTTCTCTCTAAGGGCTTTGATGTGAGGCTTCTGCTTCCAGCCCGACAGGATATTACTCTTTAATGATCTCCTGATAGGCTTCCCCTCCTACACACAACGTATTGGTTCATGCTTTTATTTCAGCCAGCAGGCTCGGACTCATCACATTTTTTAAAAGCTGTTTGAGGTAACATCACTTTTCCAAACCAGTTTATCCTTACATTGAATTTTAATTTAAAAATGTGAAAATCCAGTCCAATCCAATCCAAGTGTTGCCCTTGACCGATGTTAACGGGTCCCAAAAGGAGGCACTTCACCGTGTTAGACTCTGAAATGAAATTTGAGTGAAGAACATAAAGAGGGAGTCTGAGTGAATAATAATAATATAAGAGGTTTTAAAAGAATGAAAGAAAGAACTGAGCTTGTGGGTTGTTCCCACATCGGAAGTACAGTACACAAAGGTAGTCATATAAACCAGGTAATCACACACCAAACCGGCTGGAATAATCAGCGGCTGTAGTGTGTCGGTCGGATTAAGAGTTGGATTTACAAAAGTAAACGCACTGCAAATTAGGAAAGTAATTAGGTGTTACAGGGAACGCAAAGCCACGGCCTGCTGAGCGTTTGTGTGTTTCTCAAGTTTAGCAGGTGAGCCGCTAAAGCGTGTTGAAGCACGCCGAAAACACACTGACAGTCTGTGGGAATTAGGATGCACCATCATTGCTAAATAAACCATGTGAATCGGATTTGCTTCACTTCCCTGGCGGGATAAGTAGGGGGTGGCAGAACAGATAACCGTGAGAGCGATGAATCGAAAACACGCACCCGAGAAAAAAAACAAAAGCTACATTTCAGTTGGCCCGGTGAATTGTTACTGAGACGCATCTTTTCAAAACTTGTTCTTCCAATTGCTTCTTGCACTTATTTGGAAGGTGGTGTTCAGTTAGTATGAACAAACAAAAGCAAATCCACGGCACTTCCTCGTAACTTAAGATTGGATCTATGGTGCAGTTTTTTGGTACACATTTCTGCAGCCGTGCAAATGTTTCCTTTTCACACGGTGATGAATCTACAACTGCAGTCTCCTTGTTGTTAACACACTGTATATTATAGCCAGCATTTAAGGAGGGGTCCCGGGTACAAAAGTGAACAACTTTTCTTTTCCTGTTATCATGTTATCATTGTACACAAAAGACTGAAGTCTCAGTGGTGCAATCAGGAAAACAAGTCTTTCCATCCCCCATCTGCACCAAACTATGTATCACTGACATGAACTTTTGAAATGTGACAAGGTGCCACAGCTCCATCCCCCCCTGAGTAAGTAAGTGTGTGGGGTAGAGAGAGAGAGAGTTTAAGACCAACCCCCCTTTAGCTGTTGCATGTTTCAACTGAGCTCTCTGCCTCGTCAGTCTGACTGTGACTCACTCTGTGGTGTGTTTGGATTCTCCTGTGAGAAGCAGACGAGGTGATAAACATCAGCTTGAGATCAATTCAAAGGTAACTTCTTAGTGATTCTCTTTCCTTCATTCAGTGTGTTTTCATGGACTTTGTATTGCTGTATGTGTTTCATGTTTTTCTAATAGAAAGTTAAAACAACTATCACTGTTAAAGGATTGTTTGTGGTTTGTTTCAATGGGATGTTTGAATCAATCCATGGCTTTACGGCCCCTATTATTGCAGCATTATTCTAAACAGAAATTTCAATTCTTGTGATCATCATCAAATTTTTGGCAGCAGATTGAATGCATTGAAATCTCCAGACCGTTTGGTAAATGTTTGGTAACATATGACTCGAGAGGCCGCAAAATCCTTCCCTCTCACGACAGAGACTCAAAAGAAAGCAACCCTAATCAGCCCTGATTGTTTTATACATTAAATATATTTATTTATTTATGTATATTACGTATATGCTTTTTTTAAAGTGTCATCAACTTTGCCCGCGCTGTTTAAGGGTATTTGCAGGTGTGGGAGACTTTAAACCCACTTAATCTGTGCTGTGAAGGTGGAATGGGGAAGCGGCTGTATGTGCGCCAAATTGAGTACACATTTTGTGATAGTTTCTGTCCAACAACCTCAAAGTGACTGAAACACACTTTAAAGAAAGTTGTAAAGGCTGAATATGTTATTTTAAAATGATCCCTCTGTCCTTTTGTATCACATTCATGAGATCATGACTAGTTCAAGTTTCATGTTGTCCCAATCAATACTCAGATGTCAGAAGAATGTATGCATTCAACTTATCTAACAATTTATCCTTGCATATATGCTTACTGCATGAGAGGAAGAGATGCAGACACACACTGCTTTGGAACCCACATCACCAGCCTACGCTTTGCTTTCATGTGGAAGTTTGATTCAAGTTTTTTGACTCATAACGTTTTATATGTCAATGTGTCTTAAACTTCAGTGCAACACAACTTAGCCCTTTCAAAATGTATGACTTTTTACTTGTATATTTTAAGTGTGTGATGTTTTCAAGGTTCATCTTTAAGGATCATGGTTTCAGCGATCTGTGGTCCTTTCTTACATCATTTTCATGCTTTTCCACATGTCTTTCTGCAGCGGGACCCTGTTACCTGGACAAGCAGAGCTCAAGAGCACCGTCTTCTGGCAGAAAAAAAACGGCAGGAGAATCTGGGGATAAACTCTTCCTTAATTCAAGACATTGAATACGAGTCTTTTTTGTTTGCACTGAGGCACATTCATCACAGCTCTGCCAAAAGCATGCCAACAAAAAGGACTTTATAGCCACCGACTGCGGGCAGAATAGAAGAAAAGTATCACAAATCATGGAGGCTTGGAGTTCTGCTCAGGCGGGGACTCCCCCGTGTACGCCCGTCCTCCACACTGTCCCCAACGTCTCCTTGCCCAACTACATGCAGTTCTTCTGGGAGTACCAGGACAACTCAGTGCTCGTGCAGCATTACAACTACACCGGAAAGCTGCAGAAAGACCGCTACCGCGAGGGACTCAAGCCCGAGAACATTGCGTTCCTGGTCGTGTGTCTCCTCATTGTCCTGGAGAACGCTGTGGTTCTCATCGCTATTTGGAGGAACAAGAAGTTCCACCTGCCCATGTATTACCTTCTGGGCAACCTGACTCTGTCCGATCTGCTGGCCGGGATTACATACATGGCCAACATCATCATGTCCGGACACAATACGTTGAGACTGACGCCGTTGCTATGGTTCCTCAGGGAGGGAGGGGTCTTCATCACTCTGGCCGCCTCTATCATTAGTCTACTGGCCATTGCAATTGAACGCCATGTTACTATGGTGACCATGAGGCCCTACCACGGGGCAAAGCGGGGACGGATGTTGGCCCTGATTGCTGCCAGTTGGGCCTTGGCAGGGTTTTTGGGGGTTCTCCCGATTTTGGGGTGGAACTGCATCCGCAGACTGGACCAGTGTTCGACAGTCCTCCCGCTTTATGCCAAGAGCTACATCCTCGGCTGCGTGTCCGTGTTTAGCGCGGTGCTCCTGGCCATCGTGGTCCTCTACGTCAGGGTGTTCCGCATCGTGCGCACCAACACGCAGCGGCAGCGGCTGGGCCTGTCGGGCAGCATGAGGAAGGGCTTGGCGAGGAAGTCGCAGAAGTACATCGCCCTCCTCAAGACCGTCACCATCGTGCTAGGGGTCTTCATCGCCTGCTGGCTGCCCCTCTTCGTCCTGCTCCTCCTGGACTTTTTCTCCCCCACCCGCAGCTGTCCGCTCCTCTACAAGGCAGATTACTTCCTGGGAGTAGCCATGGTCAACTCGCTGCTCAACCCAATCATCTACACCCTGACCAGCAAGGACATGAGGAGAGCCATTCTGCGGCTGCTCTGTCGGCCGTGTCTGATGACCCGAGATGGTCAGGTGAAGAAGATTGGGATGCCGTTCCTGGAGTGCAGTTTTAGTAAATCTGAGGTGACAGCCCAGAAGTTGGAGGGTGGAATGGAGACGACCATTTCCTCTGGGAACGTTATCACAAACTCATCTCCTATTAAGGCCCTTTATCCCAAACTCTTCAAGTCATAAAGACTGAGACCGACTGATTGAGCCTAAGTTTTACCCCAAGTTTCACGCAACGTGTACCACATCTTCAGTAAAGAGGAAGCAGTACAGACTCATGTATGAGACATTCTAGAAGCTCAAGGGTTTCTTGTTTGGACAATGACTCACCTCGCCAAGTCAGACGTGGTGCAGAATTTCATTGTGAGATGGTCTCAAAACAGGAATGCCACTCAAATGTGAACAAATAAGACACACTTTCTTTTACTAATTTGCACTGAAATATTATAATGAATGGAGAAGCAGCCTAGTCTTCAATTTTGGTTCTACCAAAAGATGACATCTGTAAACCCAAAAGACTGTTGTGACTGAAAAAAGTAACATTTTCTGTGTTAATGATGGTTTTCGTATTGAAGTGCCTTAAATGCAGCACAAATACGTCTCACCTACACTTCACAAGTTCGAAGGATTTGTTGAGATTAAGTTGTGCGAGGAACCCAACACACATATGATGCAAGGCGACTGAGAGACAACAGGAAAGAGAGAGAACGATGGCGCTCACTCTAAACTGTCACCACAGACGACCCTCTTAGATTCATTGGGGTTTGGTGTTCGTTGTCTTTAAATGTCAGCCTGGTATCTGGCGGAAAACTGCAATAGCAAGCCAAACAACAAAATCTCATGTTGTGGGTTTTTTTAGGGTAACGGGGGATATATTTCCATAGTGACACGCTGATGCTTTGCTGATTGTTTAACTGAAAACAAATCAGCTGCAAATGCATTACTTGTACGTCTAAGCCTAAAAAAGTGTTTACTTTAAAGATTTCAACTCACAAACAAAGTTGCGGATGTAATTAATCCTCATGTAGCTGCAGGACTTTTAAGGATAAATATTGTGCCTGCACTTGTAAGATAAATCTTACACAAGCAGTGCAATTATTACAATACTCCCCATCACTATCCATCATGTTAGCAGAATATTTCCGGTTTTTGTTTAAGATACAGATTTTTCATTATTACAAAATTAGTTTGACATTTTGTTATTTTAAGATGTGTTTTTTACAGAAGTCTTTCCGGACCTTAATGGATGAATAAGACAGTGTGCTTTTCTTTTTGTACTGTAACTCCTGTAGTGAACCTTTAGTATTTCTAAAGCCTTTTATATAATCTGTTTTGTAAATTATATGTATTTTTTAACAAGAAAGGGTCAGCAAACTTTAACTTTCTTTTCATAAAAGAAATAAATGTTTTCTCAAAGAATTAAAGAGGAGTTTTTGGTTTGTTATTACACTCAAGCATGCGTGCGTCATTGTGTGTAGCTGAGGTTGTCTGAATAGAAGAACAGTTGTTGAAGAAGCACCACAGGAAGTCAGCCCCCATCTCTCGCATCTGGTATCGGCCTACATACAGCCTTCATATGAGCTGTGCATATCTCAGGCACGGGCACCACGCATTTTTTTTTCTTCATTTTTAACACAGTTATCTAAAGTTTTCTTTCTTCTTATTCTATTGAGGGAAATATGCTGAAGTTTTGCACTGACAGGAAAAGCCATTCTTTCTCATGGAAAGTCTAGTGGTACCAATCACGCCAGTTGTTTCACTATTACCTCCTCAGCTACCCACAGATATACTTATCTCAAATAAAAAGTGCAACATGGCACTGGGACACTTTTGATTTGTATGGGTGCAGGTATTCGTCCAGATGTTGGCTTTATCAAAAAGCCCTGTTCCTGCTTGCACATCCTCCTCAGCGTCCTTCCTGATGGGACTAGAGGTCTTAGGTCAGTTGCCATGACAGTCCCCACTGCAGACTGGATCAATAGAAACCCGATTCATGAAAGTGAATTTCAAATCCGATCCTGTGACTGCAGCTTTAAGCCGACAGACAAGCATGACTCTAGTCTAGGAGTACAGCCCCGAGGATAACCTCACCTAGATATTCTGACTGGAGATCCAAACCGACTGTTAGGAAGGCTGATTCAACGCTTGTCATATCACATCAGGGGTTTGGCTTCATCATCAATTTCACTGACCCTGCGGGGGATTTGAAACAGCCCTTATTATCTAGTTTAGTTACTTTCAGATTCAATCTATGGGTGCCAACAAAGCTTGAATATTTTTGTAGAATAGGATTACTTGTAGTTCACTCCTGCATGATTGCATTTAGAATAATATGATTTATTCTGAACGACTACGTTGATGTGGTGTTTTTTGTGCCTGTACTGTAAAAGTTGGCCTTTGACGCCACCTTGTGGCTGTTTGCCAGAACAGAGTATTTTGTGTACTGTGTTCATCTGAATTATATCTTTGACAGATGGGGGGATTTACTGAACTGTCATCAGGTGCGTGGAGCATATGTCTGTCGTCTGATGTGTTCTGTAGCAGCCAATCAGAAAGATGGAATTTTCTAGAAGGAAGCAACGTGTGCATTTGGGTAATTATGTAATTAGGGGTCACCACATCCGTGTCTCTTGAGCACTATTATATTTTATTTATCGCCATTTTGCAAGTAATAATAAATCTGCTTTGCCTATTTTTTGTACTAAAGTTGTCCACTCTTATAAGCAATGTATTTTTCAACACGTTGTGACCAGCTTAATATGTACGTCGCAGTTCGTATTATTAACATCAGAATTTATTGAAATGGAAGCGTCAGTTTTTTGTTGTTTCGAGCCTCGTTTTTCCACCCTTTCCTTTTTGCCCGTTCTTTCTCAATAAAAGCCGCCTCCTGCGGGACCTACTTCAGCTCCACTACTCGTCAACGGAGGCGGGTCCTGCGCGGTGTAGGCGGGCTCTTATTATGAAGGCGAGAAGAGGCCGGTACAATGCTTAGTCACCGTGAGTTACACACCCCCTCCCCCCAACACACACACACACACACACACACTTCTTCCTATGTGGCGCTCAGCTCGGCGGACCGTGATGGAGGAATTGAACTAAGTCAACGTGAGTTTCCCTCGTTTTGAGTGTTCCGTGCGGGTCCTGCCGGTGCGGCTGCGTGCGGCGGCTCGCTGTAGCTTCCGGTGGCGCTTTGTTAGCTTTTGAGCGCACCGCTCACGGCTCTCAGCCGTTACGTTCCCGTGTCTATTATTAGCGGCGTTTCAGCGTCGGGAGGCGGTTTGGCCGCGAGCTCCGTTTCCGAAACGTTTACTCGTCACACCGGCGGCGTCCCGAGCGGTTTGTCATGAATGGGACTTCACTTTAGGTCGCAAACCGAGCCCGAGGATTTGACGCGAGCGGACTCTTCTTTTGACGTGTGTTACATTTCGTCCTTCTTTTTCTAATCTAAACGGTCGCGCGCAGGATTGCCGCGGGAGCGCGCGGCGCTTTGTGAGAAAGCTCTTAACGTTTAATGTTCACGTAACGGCGCGGACGTGTAGTTGCGTGTGTGTTTATATGAGGACAGGCTCCCCTGGGTCATGTTGTGGTACAGAACGTTCCTCTGTTCGTCCGGTGAAGAGTTCACGATGAGTCACCGAGGAGAAGCGACACGTTCAACACTGGCGTGCGTGCGTGCGTGTGTGTGTGTGTGTGTGTGTCACTAAATGGCGTCCAGGCCTGGTTCTCTAACCGGGGGGATCGATCCTTTATCACTCCCTCTGTCATCCACGAGACCGTATGTTTGGATCACAAGTTCCACCTCGTAACTCTCATCTGAATGTTTGTTTATTAAGTTACAGCTGTGACTCAATCAGCGTCCTGTAAAGCTGATCCCTCCCGACAATGATTCACTTCACTGTCGACAAAATGAAGAAAAAACACAGTCAAGTAGTTGTTGTTGTAGTATGTTAACTAAAGCATTTTCTAATTCCATTGCAGCATCCCAATTGTGATCATGTGCTTTTAATGTAATGACATATATCAGGACATTCATATACATTTATATTGATAGATAATATAATCTGCAGATTGTGAATATAATCAGATCTGCTCGGCTGGTGAAAATGGTTTAAAACATTAGACAACAGATCCACTGGTAGTTTACATTCAACATCAAAAGACTGAAACCGCTGCTCTTTCTTCGAAAGAGAATCTGATTCCAGTTTCAAACCCGCCATTGTGTTTTGATTGCATAAAGTATGTGAGACCTGCAGCCGGTTCAAAAGTACTCCGGATCCTGTTTGTCTGTAAGCAGTTTCTGTCTCACTGTTGAGCAACGTGTTTTCCTGTGAAACAATTTCACCTCTGCGTGCTTCGTGTTACTGCGGGCTGATGGCCTCCTCCTGACCCGCTGCGTGATGCTTCCACACGCGTGACCCTCCGTGGACACGCCAGACTTTTGCATTCTCAATACTGAAAAAGATACTTGGGCCGCGGGTCAAAACCGAGTGGATTTCATTATTGTTATTATTAATAAATTGTTCGACAGAGAACAAGAAAAGGGAAAAAAACTAATTTTAACTCCTTACATATCTGGACACGATAACCTGGTGTGTGTTTACGTCCGCATCCTGTGTGCTTTATTATGTAACTCTGAAAACTCCAGATGCACAATAAGCAACTGCTGGCTGCACTTTGCACTGAATGGCACTTATACTTTTATTCTGGAAAGATTTCCAACAACGTTGCTTGTTCTTTTATCGTTGTCACGTGTAATTTGAATCGGTTTAAAGCGTGCTTGTTTGCGTTGCCTCTGCTTCGGGCCCCAGCTGGTTTTGTCCCAGTACTGAGCGAAAAAGCCCTCAGTCATGCTGACCAGCTGAATCCGATTCTAGTCTGTCACTGTGTCGACCTTTTGAAGCAGACAATGACCCCCCTCAACATTCCCTGCATTCACCTGTTTGTTTTGTGACGTCTTCAGTGGTGCAGTAACTCGCTGAGTTGTGATTGACGAGTCTTATCACAAACACCTCTGTTAACCTGAAAATGAAAGGTCTGTCTCTACTTAACTGCTCGGGGGAGAAACCCTCCCCCATGGGGGGGGGGTGAAAGGCCTGAGGGCAGCGTCTTTTCGTAGATAGACTTTGTCAGTGTAAGTCGATAGAGGCTGACTGGTGCTGAGCCCCTTGTTAAGTAGGACAATGTATTTATCAGCCGTGTACAGCGATTTAAACTGCCTGGGTTTAGTCACTGTGCGTTAAGAACAGTTTCAAAGTATGTTCCACACACGCTCACCGGCTCCCCCTTTTCCCTCCTTCCTTCCAGTTGTCAGCTGAGCCAAAAGCTGCAGAGTAAACGCAGCAGCGCTGGAGACAAATTCCATAGCTGGGCGGGATTGAGGAAGGCGTCTACGGAGAAAGCCACCGAACACCCCCCAGCCCCTCCGACTCCCCCCCGACCCGTGCTTGCGACACTTTTGGCGCTCAACCCTGTTTTTCTACCCTCCCAACATCTCATGGCACACGTGTAGCAGACTGAGGGGATTATTAATTGTTCTGAAAATGAAGCAATACTGTCTGTACCTCTCCAGGGTGAGTCCTTCAGTTTGATTTTACAATCCCACGTTTATATTTGAATTTGGGCAAATCTCATGACTTTGTATTTTGGTGGCTTTTGTTTTTTGAGTTCATTCGGTGAAGAACTGCAGTTGTTTTTTGTTTGTCAGGACTAACACTCCTTTTGATTTCCCCAACAGACGAAAGAAGAGCACTTGTGTTAACAACACGCACGTTGGAACTTCTTGCTCCTGGTGAGTCGGTACAGTCATAGAACATTCTGTACCTGCTGACCCCCTCTGACAGCCGAAGGGACTTTGAGTGTGAGACGTTTTGATTCTGTTGGACCAACAACATGTGAAAGTATGACCATCCGTGACAGGCAGCAGTCTGTAGTGGTGCCATAATGAGCATTACAGCTGGACCCGGGTACTGAAAAGAGAACTCTTCAGAACGTGAACCCTTGCACACAAACGGAATATCTTGTGTAGCCAGGAGAGCTTTCCTGTTTAACCCCTAAAGTGCCACTTGGAACTGGTTTGATTTCGGCCGTGCACGGTGCCAGGATGCCCCATAGAGCCGCCCGCTGTTCCTGAGAAAGAGGCCGGTGGGGGGAGAGGGAGGGAGACCACGTAGGAAATGACAGAATGCATGACAGAATACAAAGCGCTGGTGACTCCGTCCACGCGCAACGGCCACCGCGTCTTCAGCTACACGCTAGAGAGCCACACGGCGGCCGCCTTTGCCATCATGAACGAGCTGCGCGCGGGGCGCCAGCTGTGCGACGTCACGCTGCGCGTACGCTACAAGGACCTGGAGGCGGTGGACTTCGTGGCCCACAAAGTGGTGTTGGCCTCCTCGTCGCCGGTCTTCAGGGCCATGTTCACCAATGGCCTGAAGGAGTGCGGCATGGAGCTGGTGTCCATCGAGGGGATCCATCCCAGGGTGAGTCGGACGGTGCAGCGTCCCAGATTGACGTCTTTCTTTTCAGTTTGCTGGACACACGGGCCAGAGGTTACTTAATGTGAGGGAGGGATAAAGACTTTAACACCAATAAATCACATTATATTTGTTGTGTGAGAATGTGCCAATTGTGTTTATTAGTACAGTTTAAAAATGGATATATATATTACTATATATTCTTTTTGATTTTCAGCAACAAAAAAAAGTATTTTTTAACAACTGAATAGAGCAAGTTAAAGGTCTTAGTGTGCTTACAACAAGGGAATGCGCTGTTAAAAGAACCCAGTTGATGTTTGTTTTTCACTGGTCTTGAATGTATTACTCACTATGCTTCCATATATTTCTGTCACTGAATGAACAGTAATATGCAGTAATGCTCCTCTGTGGATAATGTTACATACAGGAGAAAAAGAAAGCTGATATTAGTGAACTGCTCGAAGGTCAACTCCACGTGCACACTGGGAACTGTACGGCAGTGCTCGGCTGAAAACTCTTAGTTTCACTTCTTTAACTTACCAATGTTGTTTATAATATCCTGTAAATCCACACAACAAACAGGCATCCACTTCAACTCCATCCTTCCTCTTATCCACCATCCCCCCCCCACCCTTTCTTTCTCCTTGCCTCTTGCCTCACTCATTCAGGTCATGGAGCGACTGATAGAGTTCGCCTACACCGCCAGCATCTCTGTGGGGGAGAAGTGTGTGATCCATGTGATGAACGGCGCCGTCATGTACCAGATCGACAGCGTGGTCAAGGCCTGCTGCGATTTCCTCGTGCAGCAGCTCGACCCCAGCAACGCCATCGGCATCGCCAACTTCGCTGAGCAGATCGCGTGCATGGAGCTCCACCAGAAGGCCCGCGAGTACATCTACATGAACTTCAGCCAGGTACAGCACCGACCCGGTTTAAGATGGACGCCTTCACGAGTTGACCGTGTAGATGGATGGATTTATTATATAATGATCCGTCATGTTTTTACTACTGAGCACAGCGGCGTGACTAAATGTACCTGCTGACACACCTCATTTAGTGAGTGAAGTGTCTTGTGTTTGAGTAAAAAGCTCCGTCAGCTGGCCACAAGCCTTTTGTGTGTTTACCTTAGCAGCAGGAAAACAATAAATGGACATTCAACTTTAATCTCAGATAAGATGATAAGAAATAGGGCAGAGTCTGTGTGTCATGTATACTCACCCCTGGGTTTACGTCTTACAAAAAACAGTGAGGTCTGCCTGACTTCTTTAATAGATGCATTTTCTCTACATGAAAGACACGCATTGCATAATGTTTGATCGCACGCCGCAATGAATTAGAAATCAACCAGGAAGCTCACGGCAGGATGCCAGTGTTCAGTGTGTGCGCTAATCTATATTGGTAAATGGTAAATGGTCTGTACTTGTATAGCGCTTTTCTAGTCTTCCGACCACTCAAAGCGCTTTAATACTACATGACATCATTCACCCATTCACACCCATTCATACACTGATGACAGGAGAACCATACACAGTGACACCTGCCATCAGTAACTACCATTCACACACTGTAGTCGCAGCTACAGGAGCAATGTTGGGTTCAGTGTCTTGCCCAAGGACACAACGACATGCGGGTTAGCCAGGCCTGGGATCGAACCGACAACCCTCTGATTGGAGGACGACCGTGCTCCCCACTCACCCACGGTCGCCCAGTCAAGTCAAAACGTTGGTGGGAAAAGTAGCAGCGAATTGGTGAAACATTTGACTTGAAAAGTTCCTTGAGCTGTTGTCTTCTAAAACGCTTGTGTCTCCTGTCCTGACCGTAGGTGGCGACCCAGGAGGAGTTCTTCAACCTGTCCCACTGCCAGCTGGTCACCCTCATCAGCAGAGACGAGCTCAATGTGCGCTGCGAGTCCGAAGTCTTCCAGGCGTGCGTGGCCTGGGTTCGCTACGACCGAGAGAACCGGCGGCCGTACGTCCAGGCGCTGCTCCAGGCCGTCCGCTGCCACTCGCTCACCCCCAACTTCCTGCAGGCCCAGCTCCAGTCTCTCGACTGGGACCCCCAGTGCAAAGACTACCTGGCCCAGATCTTCCAGGACCTCACCCTCCACAAGCCCAACAAAGTCATTTCTTGGAGAACGCCGAAGGTGCCGCAGCTGATCTATACCGCGGGGGGTTATTTCCGCCAGTCTCTCAGCTACCTGGAGGCGTATAATCCCTGTACGGGGGCGTGGCAGAGGCTGGCTGACCTGCAGGTACCTCGCAGTGGCCTGGCAGCGTGTGTGATCAGTGGGCTTTTCTACGCTGTGGGGGGAAGAAACAACGCGCCCGATGGCAACATGGACTCCAACGCGCTGGACTGCTACAATCCGATGAACGACTGCTGGCTGCCGTGTTCCCCCATGAGCGTGCCAAGGAACCGGATCGGAGTGGGCGTCATCGACGGGATGATATATGCAGTCGGAGGATCACATGGCTGCATTCATCACAATAGTGTTGAAAGGTAAGCAAATTTAGCTTTATAGTGAGGGGAGGGTTCAAAGCAAGTACTTGTCACACGTATAGTGAAGCCACAGCCCAATCTATTGTTCATCATAACAGAATATGTAATTACAAGTGGCTGCCGGTGGTTTTGAAATGACGTGTCAAACTGTGGTTCTGTGGTTTGGTTTCTACATTCAGTGGCTAAAAGCCCAACATTTGGCATTCATGATTAAGAGGAGAATGCTCCTTATTGTACCTGCTTAATGAGCATATAAGAGCAGGAACGGGTAACTTCCTGGAACATTAAAGCTTTTGTTACACTTGTAATGGGTTTTTACATTTCACACAAAGCTTAAATGAGGAAGATTAATTCAACATTTTGTTACGCTATAAAATAGTAAAAGACGTCATGGCTGAAAATGGTTTCTCTCCCACGGACTGTGTGATCTAACCCTTCAGCACTCTCCCTTAAAATATTCAAAAGAACATCTTTATTAAACTGCCTCCCCGCCTGTGTGCGTGTTTTTCTGCATTCCTACAGGCAGATGAATCGGTTTCCTTACAGTCTCTATTTTTAGTCGTTTTCTGTAGAACCGTAAAAATCAGCAGCAAATATTAACCAGGAACGCCACAATGACTCAGCAAACATATGTGACTTATTATAAGTGACTCATTGATGGGGAAAGCGGATCTTGGCAACAAAGGCGCTGCTCTGTTTCCCTCAACATGCGCAGCGAGTGATGCCATATCTCAGCTCACACCTGGCAGCAGAATCCGTATTCACGTTTCCATCTGCCCAAGTGTTCCAATCTCACTTCCCTTGACATACATTCGCTTTAGTGATCGTTGGATCTTTAAGTACTTTTAAAAATCTGTATGAACTTTAAACCAGATGTTCTTTTTTTTCTCTCACACACATAGTGAGTGCTTCAATGTAGCCCAGAGGTCCGTTTCAAGAAGCGGGTTTAGTGGAAACTCAGTTTAACCCCGACATGAGGGGAAACTGGCTTGTCTGTTTCACAAAGGGAGGTAACTAAAGCTCAGCGTCAGTCACCATGGTAACTGAGCCTGTGAACCAAACCTGCTCCCGACCAGGTTTTCTTCAATAAACCTGGAGTTTCTTTCACAGTCTCCTCCCTCTGACCGCAACTCGGCCAATCACACAGCACGCTTTCATTTCCTCATTCATTGAGTTACTCTGTATCAGGCGGATTGTAGCGCAGTTTCCACATATGAACAAATAATAGATATGTTATGTTACTTAAGACTAAAGTGTCTTCTCAAACATGTCACGTCTTTTTCTGGACGATCCTGTTGATGAAGAAGTGCTTTTACTTCGCAGGGCGTTAAACGTGTCGAGAATATTGAGGCCCTGATTAGATATATTGTCATTTCCATATAACTACTTGTTTGAACGATATCGTTTTTCTTCACAGTCCATCAAATATGTACATGACCTCACCCGTCCTCAAATACCTAATGTCTCCCATTGTGGACATGCTCGCACATTCAAGCATTCTTTGTGTTTTTGCAAACATTTTCTTTACAACATTATAATATTAGTAAAGCTGCTGTATGCAGAGCCCTGAGAAACGTGTGCGTCGCTCTGAAACGTCTCTTAAAGGTTTTTGTTCCCTGGACACAAACCAGTGAAGCCATTAAAGAGGAGTTCCACGGGACGCACCTGAATAAAATACATTATCGGTTCAATACCATTGAACCAGTTTTTACCAGCGATATTATTCTAAATATGAGTGTGGGTGTGTATTTCAACCCTGTGTATAGTGCATTCTGTGTAAAAAAATGTAATTTTCCTACTGGGAATTAGTAAAACGTATGTATCGTGGCTTCGTTCTTGCTGCCTTCATACAGTGGTGGTGCACGCCCTCAACTCTGAGTCAACAAACTCTAAACAGCTGTTCTGAAACCCCAAACTCTGTTTCCCATCTCAGGATAAATCAACTCAGAGGCTTTAACTCAGTTTGTTAAACCTCCTACTTGAAACCGACCCCTAGAGCGTTCCACCTGTTGCTAGTGTAGAAGGTTGTTAGAAACATTGTACTATTCTCAACAATCATTCAGGCTTTTGTGTGATCACAAAAAGTCTGGAGGTGGGGTAGGGGACGAGGTGTAACCAGGCGCCAGCACGTGTAGTGCTTTAGAGATAAAAAAATAATCCTTAAATCAATTGAGTGCAGAGGCCGAGACTCTTCTCCTGCTACCAGTGTGTTCGCCCGGCTACAGGTGAGATCAGATCACCGATTCCTAGTTTCAGAGGCGACGGGGAAACGTAGCGGCGGGTGAGCTTTATTAATGGCCGCTGTAAAGAGGCAGTTCGCGACATCCCGTTTCTGCTTTGAGGCCTCAGCGGGCCGACGGGGGACCAGGTCGCTATTAACCATAAAACCAATGAATATGTGTTGTTCCTGGTTCAGGTACGACCCAGAAAGGGACCAGTGGCAGCTGGTGGCCCCCATGTTGACCCGGCGGATCGGTGTAGGTGTCGCTGTCATCACCCGGCTGCTCTATGCTGTGGGGGGGTTCGACGGGGCCAACCGCCTCAGCTCCTGTGAGTGCTACAACCCCGAGAACGACGACTGGAAGACCATGGCCGCCATGAACACTGTGCGCTCCGGAGCTGGTGAGGAAGGGAGCTGCTTTTTGACGGGAACGTGTCAGCCGGAAGGTTGGCGAAAGCTCTAGAAAGCTGACATCCGTAATTTTTATATTACACAGATATGAAAGGCTGTTTGTCTGTCGGTTTGTTATAAATTGCCGTTGACCCTCCTCAGGTGTGTGCTCACTGGGGAATCGCATCTTTGTGATGGGCGGCTACGACGGCACCAACCAGCTGAACACGGTGGAGCGCTACGATGTGGAAACGGATACTTGGAGCTTCGCTGCCTCCATGAGGCATCGGCGCAGCGCTCTGGGAGTCACTGCATTACATGGAAGCATTTATGTAATGGGTGAGTAGTAGTGTAACTACTGCGAGGGAAGATGGCACGATTTGAGCGGGCTTTTGTTGCACCCAGAAGTTTATTTGGTCGGCAAAATCTACACTTTAAACTTCGATGTCCAAGCACTCGCCTTTGGAAATGTATTGACCTTCTTAGTAGTCTCCTCCGACATGTTTTTTTTATGTGATCTTTTTGTGACTCAACAGTGTTGTAGGTGGTCCTAGTTTCATTGAGCGAATGCAACTATTCCTGAGACTGATTCTTCGTGTTCTGTTCACAGGAGGCTACGATGGCAACACGTTCCTGGACAGCGTGGAGTGTTACGACCCTGAGAAGGACACGTGGTCTGAGGTGACGCACATGACATCTGGGCGGAGCGGCGTCGGAGTGGCCGTTACCATGGAGCCGTGCCAGAAAGACCTGCAACGGAGTCATACGTGTGAGAGGGAGAGCGACGCCGCGTCACCGGCCAGTCAGTCAGCCAACGGCGGCTCCAGCTCCTGCAGCAGTGAGCGGCAGGACGGGTCCTTTGGCACTTAGGACTGATGGAGCCTGTCTCTCTCACTCACACACACACACACAGATGGACGGGCAGCACAAAACGCCACGCTGTCTTACCAAAACAAAGACCCTCACAACAAATTTGAGACCACGGTGAAACCGCACACGCTGCCTCATTGGTTCTGGACAAGCAAAAAAGAAATGATAAAAAACTTTATTGTAAAAGTGCAGTGGAATAAATATTGAAGTATCCGCATTGGATTATCCTAAAGTATGACCCCAGATCCTACGGTCCACTTTTCCAGGCTGGTAAGTTGGTCAGTTAGTTTGGGGAACTGTGTTTTCGGGGGTGGCATGTGGAGCGTTCTGTCGGACCGTCACATGCCAGGTTTGAGCCATGGGAGGAAAGGGCTGCACACGGAAACGGGCCAGTTAACGGCTCAGGGGCTCTTTACACTTCAAACAAGACATTAAAATGAAGCCATTATAATAAAAAGTAAATGCTACAAAACATAGCATTTGACAGCAGAGTTCAAAGTGCCATTACGTTACACAGAGAATCGCTGTGTGTCCAAATTGGTTAAGTTGAGCCAGACAGACAAGACGAGGCCTCAAGCGAAAGCGTTTTCTGTGTCCCCGTCCTGAACCTTGTCACGTTTGCTCCACTGTGTCCCAATTCCAGAGCACATTCAATGATCATATTAATACATTTTATTCATAGGCACCTATCAAAGAGCTCAATTTCGTCAACACATGTCATCTCCTAATTTAATCAGAAAAAATATTGAGACAATTTTATTTTTCCAATAATGCAGCGTATCCACACAGCGCTGACTTTAGTTTACACCAAAGAAAGTTCATCGCCACAAATGATCTTAAATCACCTGTTCGACAACTTGCAAGTTGTTCTTACATGAGGCCTGATTTTACCATTTGAATTGCTTGTGGAGGAGAAGCAGAACCTTAAAACTGCATCGTAACCAATATGTCCATCTATAATATCCACTGGTATGTTGAAATGGGATTACTGCCGTTGAAAGTGGCCGTGTTGCTTCTCGTTCAGGTGTCAGAGAGTCTGATCCAGTATAATTGGGTGTATGAAGTGCCAAGAGAACGAAAAAACGGGCTTTGACGGCGTTTAGAGGAATAGGAAGACCGTAGCATTTAAACATTTTAGGGCCGGTTTCGGAGACAGGGCTTAAATCAAGACTGAAGTAGGCCTAAATCAGACTAGTTAATCCTGGCTATTTAAGTGGCTTGCATGAACATGGCATAAATTTGGCTTAGTTAGTCTGAGACTATGGAGTCCTGGAGTAAGCTTAATGAGAACACCTGGTTCAAGCCTCATTAGACTAAGTGGAAGCACAGGCTGTTGGTCCAATTGTGCTCATGAAAACCTGAAATGGAGTATGAAACACCATTGTTGCAGTGAATTTTGAGACAACACAATGTCAGAGGCAAAGAGAATTCGCTCCAAAAATTATAGTGAGCATGAAAAAGCACTACTAAAACTAATTGTATCGAACCATCCAGTCATTGAAAGCAAAATCCATACTGCTGCTATTGAACATAAGAAAAGAAGTGCTTGGACTGCAATTGGCAAAGAATTCAATGCAAATGAAGATGTCACCACAAGAACAGTACAACAACTGCAGGTGAGTTAATCTTCATTATTAGGCACAAAAATATGTGTTTGTTTCCTGTTGCCTATACCCTGCTTATTTATGGCCTACCCAAATACAATACTCCTGCTGCTTGTAGCATTCACATTGAATGAATATCCTGTTTAAAAGGATAGTAACCTATTTTAAAGGGGCATATGCATGTTAAACATGGTGGTAGAGTAAGATATGTTGCACAAAGGAAAATCCATACCTATATGTGAGGGGGAAAGAAATATACAATCATTTCTCCACCATGACCTAAATTATCAGGAGACAAACTTATTTTTATTATGCCTTATCAGTACCAGTATTTCAGATTTCCCATATTACTATTTTTGTGACATCAAAAAAGAAAACTAATGAATGATATCTGCCTTCATAGGTTCTATGGAAGAACATTAAACTGGGATTAAAAAAAGAGAATGCAGCAAGCAGAAGAGAGCGATTTATTACAGGTGGTGGACCACCAATAAAGGACACATGTGATGAATTGGGTGACTTGCTGTCTGGTATAATAGAGCACCAGCAACCTCTGGATGGTATACCAGACAATGACCATTTGGACAGTGAACATGGAGAACTGAGCACAAATGGTAAATATACCTTAGGAAGTAAATTGGTTACAGGACCATATTAGTTGATTTGAGTTTGGAACAGTGGTCTTTTTTTCCAGAGGAAACCAATCAAGAGCCAGTTCACAACGAGCCTGAACCCTCCACATCTGCTATGGCACCCCTGGGAGATGAAGCTGCTACCATCCAACAGAGACCAAAAAAGATAACTATGCATGAAAAGTTAGCCAGAGAATTTCATGAGCGTAAAATTGAATATTTAAAAGAAGAACATGAAATGAAAATGAGAATTCTAGAGGTTGAACTGGATATGAAATTGGGAGAGAGGGCTATGCTCCAAAAAAGAATTCTGCATACTAGTAGCCATGGTGAATATGAGGAATTGTGAAAAATAAAAATAAATGTATTGTCATTTGGCGTGTGAGTGAGTATTAATCATCACAAACTACATTTTACCCGACTTGGTTCACTAGTTTAATTTTGCTACATTATTGTAATTTTGTACAGAAACAGTATGCAAGCACCACCATACCATAATGGATACATTCCATATTTAAATGCTGAAGTGCTGCACTGTGAAAGCAGCTCTGTGTGCAAGTCCTCGCTGGTCATTGGCTGCCTCTGCCACCATGGGCACATCTGCATCATCCTGATCTTCCATTGGCAGGTCAGGACAGCCATGCTGCTTCAGGTAGTTGTGCAGCACAGCTGTAGCAATGATCACTTTGCAGCATCTTCTTGGCTTGAAACGAATCGTATTTCGTAAGCACTGGAATCGAGTTTTCCATACTCCAAACATACGCTCGATCATCCCTCTAGTACGGATATGAGCTCTGTTGTACCTTTGCTGCTCAGCTGTTGTGGGATTTAGATGTGGTGTGAATAAATAGTTACTCTGACCATATCCACTATCACCAAGTAGTAGTCCACTATGTTGTCCACTCTCAAATTGTGCACACAATGAAGAGTTGAGAAAAATCCTTGAATCATGGGTTGCACCTTTCCAACGGGCAACAATGTTTGAAAACTCCAAATTAGGAGTGCATACACCCTGAACATTGATTGAAAAACAGTTCTTACGATTCCTGTATTCCTCTGCATCAGGAGTTGATGGACACTTGATGGGAACATGACATCCGTCTATACAGCCAATCACTCCTGGAAAGTGCCCATATTCATAGAATTGCACTTTATAGTTGGCTTGCCCAGCAGCATCAGGGAACTTGATGTAAAGACTCCTCAGTTCACAAATGGCACTGCAGACTTTGTGAACTATTCTACATACAGTTGGTTCACTGACACCACACAAATCACCAGTTTCACGATGAAAGATTCCACATGCCAAGAACCTCAAAGTGATCAGAACTTGCAGTTGATTGGACACAGGCCTTCCTCTTTGAGACAGAGAGGAAAGTCTAGGCTCAAGCAAAGTAATTATCTCCAATGCATTTTCCTTGTGCATACGAAAGCGGTCTCGAAAAGTTATTTCATCAAACTGATTCAATGGATCACTCCTATCCAGCAGTATTCGTCTGGCTGGCCTTTGTCGTGCATGTTGGTCCTCATTTAGATATTCCAAATAGTCCATGCTCCCAAACAATCCAAGCTCAGTTTCACAAACAGTAGCCTAGCCTACTAAGCGGGAGTTAAACCTGCCTCCTTGGCAGATTAGTTTAAGCTTCAATTCAGTCCAATTTAGTCCTGGAGTAGCTCTAATGCTCAATTTTGCAATCGGCTTTGTTTAATCCAGAACAGGCTTAATCCACGAGTATTTTAAGCTACGTCTGTGCAAGTGAATTTCAGTTAAGCCAGCTCAAACAGCATTTTAGTCTGGGACTAGGCTTGAGCCTTGTCTCCGAAACCGGCCCTTAGTGTTTTTAGAAAAACCTTGATTACTGACACGAACAAGACGCCTTCTCGCGCAACAGACCTCAGAGAAGTGTTGCAATGTAGTGCTCACGCATTGTACACAAATAACAAATAAGTGTATTTCTAACAGCAATTTAAGCTAAACATGTTTTTCAGTGATGTTTTTTGTACATTGATATTCTAAAGTCTTGTACAGAATCTCAGATCTCCCTTTTTTTATTTATTTGTTCAGTATGGTTTTCTCGTTCCTCTACACTGACATCAGCGTTGTACTGCATTGGACTCTGGTGTTGTGTTTTTCAATAACTAGCATGACTTGTAACTAAGTACAAATGCCTGTTAATGCTCATTTTGGATGTTTGTAAAAAGAAAATGCTTCACTTCTAAAGGGACTTGTTTTTCGTCAGTTGCGTCAGTTGTTGGAATGGAAATTAGAATGTTTAATGTCTGCTTTGTAAATTTTCTTTTCCAGCAAACATACCCTGTACAATAATACATTTTGAAATAAAATATGTTTGTTGTACTATTATAGTCGTGAAATTATTTTATAAGCTCAGTTCTTTAGACATTTTAAAATGACACATCCACTTACAAACAAACCAGAAATGTGGGTTTCGAGGTGTTTGAGATTATGCTGAGTGGCCACCAGAGGGCACGCTGGCCTTTTTATTCTAAACTAATAATAATAATCCCAGAGCTGTTCCTCCATCATTACATTACATGTCATTTAGCTGACGCTTTTATCCAAAGCGACTAACATTACACTTTAAACCCATGGCTTTTCACATTTTGCCCAGTGAGCAATTAGGGGTTAGGTGTCTTGCTCAGGGACACTTGGACATGGGGCAGTCGAGACTCGAACCACCAACAGCACACCCGCTCTACCCCCTGCGCCATGACGACCCCTCAAATTATATCCACCTATTTAAAATGAACAAGTCAGTGCCACAAGAGGAATAAATCAACCAGCCATGTTTGCTGCCAACACAACTCATTTTGACAAACCTGAAAGATATTAATTACTAAGGTATTAAATACTACTACTGATATATCCTTACTTAAAAGTCATCATCCTGATAATTCTGTCAAAATGCTATTGCCCTTGATGTACCGTATAGTGACTTTCATGATTTATTTGGACAGTATATTAGATTTTTCTGATTTTCTTTCAACATATAATAATTTAACTTTTTAAATGTATCTAACATAAATTCACTTTGACACTGTTATGACTTTTAAAATAAACAATTCGCAGACTTTTTTGAACATACTATATTATGATCATT